CTCTCTCTCTCTCTCTCTCTCTCTCTCTCTTTCTCTCTTTCGCTTTCTCTCCGTCTCCACCTCCCCCCCCTCTCTCTCCACTGTCTCTCCAATAGATGGTTTAGTACATAATCCTTCAAAAAACATACACCCACACTAACCAACATTCCTTTGATGACGACACACAGCAACTTGTTAAAGAACAAAATGAATGAGGGAAGTCTGTACTAAAAGGTCATAATACGTGTATGAGAATTGGGAATGTCGCTCATTACTCTCAATGAAGCTGGTCAATAGGTTTTTAGGGCTGATTTGAATTATGATGAAGCAGTTGACCCCTGTGATATGTGATGGTAATGTGTTCAACAGGGAAAGAGCGTGGTATATAAAAGTTCTCTCTCTTAGTAGCTGACTTTTACTTTGTTCACGTTCGATGACCATGTCGCAAAGATGTGATGGTACAGCTGTCTTGTTCTGAATCCGTACTTTCACAAGGAGATACTGCTGTTGGATTAACATTTGTGTCTCGTGCTTCTTGAGAAGATTTTCTTTTGTAAATTATGCGAGCAGCTTGATTCTGTAGTCGCTGCAACCTGATTATAATTTCATTAAGAATTCGAGAGACGGGACTTTTAATGAAATTAATACTATACTGACAGGTGTCCTATTCTGCTTAGTTAATACTGCATTACTTCACACGGACGGTTTATTATGATGGTGCATAGATAGTTTGCGACCAAAGCAAACGCCCTCCTAGATTGGTCGCTTTATCAGTGAAAAAGATGTTCTAATTCCCACTCCTGATATGGTCAACATTGCATGGAACTTCCCCCGGTGTAGCGTTGAAAAACATATCAGCTTCTTTGATTTCAGCCGGTTGTTTACAATGACAATACATTTTTCCGTGGTGTTGAATAGACAACTGTAATTTGTAGGTAAAACAAACTTGCAAAATTAATTATGAGCTCCGTCCGCATTATGTGATAATTAACATCACGCCTCCTTATTGCTGAACAAAGAGGATCTATGTCAAGTGTATACAAAAGTGGGTCGAGGACAGAACCCTGGGGCACGTAAAAGTGCGGGCAGAAAGTGAATGACATTTCGCCATTGACAAGTACAGACTGCGTGCCATCAGACAAGTATGACGTACATATTACAAACACGCTGTGTATACATTAGTATATATTTACACAAGCACATTATACACATAACATACATACACAAACACACTTTCATACAAACAACATACACAGCACATACACACTCAGACACACACAAAACACACATACGCATCCATGCATATATATCAGCCAAGTTTTAATCATACCCCCCC